TACGCTCAGTGCAGAGAAGAGCACAGGTCGAGGCCCTGGGGCAGGAACACATTGGTATTTGTGGGGTTTTCGTCTGTGTACATTTACTGAGAACACATGTGGCATGTCCGAGGAACATTACAGACAGAATTCAATGAGCAAGAGGGGAGAGGGAAGAGCTGATCCTCCGAAAACAGCCAGGGGTCAAATGACGTAGCCCACAGTAGAGCTCTGCAATTTGTTCCATGTGATGGGAAACCACTGGAGGGTTTTAAATAGGGAATGACATGAATTGTCTTCTAAAGGGAATAAATAGTAATAAAGAATGATGAATACCCACAAATCCACCCTCTCCTGGGACCCACTATTCTGCTCTGGGTGTTTTTCTTAGTACCTTGGCTGTGCATTTTGCCACCTTAAAATGACATGTATCGCATTGTGTTGCTTACCATTTTATAAGTAATATCAGGCTATATATTTTTCTTGCCCCTTGTTTGGGTTGATCGGCCCGTTTGTGAATTTCTACCCTGTTGAGATGTCTAGTTCTAGCTTGTTTGTGGCCACCACCTAATATGATGTGTATGACATCCCTATTTTATACCCGTCTGTTGACAAGCATTGGTTCCTATATTTTTCAACTGTAAATGCTGCTGCTGTGCACATTTTTGTTTCTTATGTGTATATACAAGTTTCTCCTGAAGGTAAATACGGAGGAGTGGAATGTCTGGGTCCCATGATCCACACCGGCTCGACTTGACTAGGTACTACCAAACAGCTGGACCTGGGTAGTTGGACCTGTTTCCACCCTTGCTTGTGCTAAGAGAGCGTTGACCCAGAGCCTCAAAAGCATGTGGTATCTTCACATTTTGTTTTGCCCACCTGGGGTTGTACATTGCAATTGTCATTGCCTTGATTACTGGTGAGATGGAGTCTTTTCATGAACTTACAGATCATTCCTGTTTCTCCTCCAATAAGTTGTGGGTGGTTGGTCCTTATTAGAATTTCTTTCTTTTCTTTTCTTTTTTTTGGTATCAGGGATTGAACCAGGGTGCTTAACCACTGAGCCATATCCCCAGCCCTTTTTATTTTTTATTTTGAGACGGGGTCTCACCAAATTGCTTAGGGTCTTGCTCAGTTACTAAAGCTGATCTTGAACTTGTGATCCTCCTGCCTCAGCCTCCCAAGCCACTGGGATTTCAGGTTGTGCATCACTGTGCCAGGCTGGAATTCCTCTATGTAATCTGGACACTGTTCCATTCATGGAGCACATTTACATTGAGCACCTTCAGTGCCAGCTATTCATCTTAGGTACTGAGAGTCACTGTGAAAATAGAAGTCAGATGTCTTTTCTCCTTCCAGCTTACTTCTTTATGGTGAATTACACCTCCCTGTAAACCTTGAAGCATATAACATCAGCTGGTGTCACCCATGATGTTAACAATGTTCAACATCTCTTTAGCATGTCAGCTTGATCATTCATTGTAATATAACTTATTATCCCATCAGTCTTCATCTGTTGGTGCTAGAAAACAGTAACAGCCATGCCTTGGGACCATTATTTCACTGAAGTTGCAAAATGAAGTCTTTGGAATTGACTAGCTGGAATTCCTCTAGGAAGAACTTAACTCACCAACAGTAGTTGGCAGGGCCACCCAGAACCTGGGAATGCAGCCTTCTTTGAAAAACGGTCTTTGAAGATGTAATTAAGTTTGTGGGTTTTTTGTTACAGCAGACACAGTAAACTAATACAGCCAATTATGAAACTGCTTGGAAATACAGATTGAAAAGTTAAGGTGTCACATGGCAAAAGGTGCAACTTAGGCAGTTGGTGGGGGAGGGTGGAATAAAGAATGTCCACACACTTCTGCCCTAGTCAATGCTTTATTTATCCAAATCACTCAGTACAATTTCACTCTATAGGTTCTTAATCATTAAGGAAATGAAAATCCTTAATGCTAGGCATTGCAATAGATAGAATCAATTCATAGCAAACAATTCTGGATTAATTCTAAGCACTGCAAACACACTTACTCATGACAGACTCATGACAGACATTCCCTCCGCATGCTAAGCTCAAGTGTCAGATCAAAAGTCTCAGCCTTAGGCTCTAAGTCCAGCAGATGCACACTTACTCAGACCTCTGTGATCAGGTCAGGAACCAAGGCAGGCTTCTCCTGGGGTGGAGCTGACAGCTGATTCAGGAGAGGGTCTTAGGGAGAAGTTGCGTCTCTCACCAGAGTCAAGATGTGGCTGTAGAGTTTGAGAGCAGTGAGGAAGACGCAGAGGATCAGGCAACAATGAAAAGTGTTGGGGTGTCAGTCCAGGTCCTCATCAGGCTCTCCGGCATGTGGGCATCAGTGTCGGTTGTCTGTTCATTTCCTTCACTATTTATACTAAATTTGGGGGCTTTTGACCCCCACCCCCTTTCAACCCCCATCAGCTGCCACTGGGTCTCTCAGTGACATCATTTACCCTGGGTTAAAACATCTGGCCTGGTGGTCCCCACCCTGATCTTTTCACCTTTCCCTCTTATCAGGTGAGAGAGGCCTGCCTGAGACTTCACTCTGAGGGTGGGGGGAAGTGACTTGCTTGTGTCTGAGGGCCACACTGGAGGGCTCCGTTAGGCATGCCTGGTGAGACTGCAGGTTTCAAACTGGAGTTTTAAAATGGAGTTGCTTAGGCTCAGGACTCACATCCCAACACTTTTCATCGTTGCCTGATCCTCTGCGTCTTCCTCCCCGCTCTCAAACTCTACAGCCACATCTTAACCCTGGTGTGTTAGACCACGATGCAAGAAAAGACCACCGACTCCAACTGAAATCCAATTAAAGCAAGCTGGTCATTCCGACCGGCCGGGGCTGTGTCTCCCGAAAACCACGGGAACAGAAGTGCCGGGTTTCTGTTCTGGCGACTGAAAGGCTCGGGGTCACTCCAGTTGAACTGGGCTAACTGGGCTGCGCAAAATAACCACACAAGAGGCACAAATACCTTTTTATTTGGGGTCACTGTGATGGCTCCTCTGACCCCAGGAAGAGAGAGCAAGAGCACGCGCTGACCCCTTTTATTGAGGAGAAGCTGTTCAAATGAGGCAAGGGGGCAGGTTTCAGGGGCTGAGTCTATCTTCATGATGTCCACTGTCAGCAGGTTGACTGACACCTGGGTAGGCCACACCCAAGGGCACAGTAAGAGAAGGGGACACACACAAGGCACTTCCATGGAAGATTCTATCCTAAACAGGGCAAGGGGTTATATTACAAAGGAACAGGTGAGCGTAGCTCCACTCATGGGGTTATAGCACCCATGCACAAGACACCGACCCTCGCACCCAAGAAGAGTGGGGACAGCTCTGCCACATTTCTGTGACTGAGTGCCTCAGCACCCAGCCGGGGAGTGTGACTCAGTCACTTGTAAGGTTGGTCTCCCACACAGAAGATAGCCCTGCAGATCTCTAGGAGCTCAACTTAATAGCAAAGAAAGTTACAAAAGGGGGGGGTGTGTTGAGAACTTACAGATAACAGAATTTTGACAAGTATAATACAAAGGCAGATTAATTGTCTATCTGGGTCAGCACTTAGGGAGTAAATTTAGACCCCAACATCATAATTTATGAGGTGCCATCAGAGCCTCAGAGAGGGTCTGGCCAGGGAAAGTCAGAATTTATGAGGCACACTAAAGTTTTGGAGAGGGTTGTTATCTGGTCAGGGAAAGCCAAGCATGGGTGACTTCAAGGCATGGGCAGGCATTCCAAGCAAGTTTAAAACATCAAAATCCAGCCAAGCTATATAGAAATCCTAATACTTTACAGGAAACAGAAATGAATCCTTTATAACTTGTGACAAGATGGCTCCTGATCTTAAGAGGGAATTAGGCTGGGTTTATCAGGTGAGAGCCGCAACTTCTCCCTAAGACCCTCTCCTCAACCAGCCGTCAGCTCCACCCCAGGAGAAGCCTGCCTTGGTTCCTGACCTGATCACCGAGGTCTGAGTGAGTGTGCATCTGCTGGACTTAGAGCCTAAGGCTTGAGACTTTTGATCTGACACTTTGTTGGCAGTGCTTAGAATTAATCTAGAGTTGTTTGCTGTGCATTGATTCTATCGCAGTGCCCAGCATTAAGGATTGTTATATTTCCTTGATTAAGAACCTATAGAGTGAAATTGTATTGAGTGATTTGAGTGAATAAAGCATTGACTAGGGCAGAAACGCGTGGGGGATATTCTTTATTTCCTCCCCGGACCGTGCAATTTGCACCTTTTGCCATGGCAACACTTGTTTGTGCCTGAGGGCCACACTGGAGGGCTCTGATGTGTGCCTGGTGAGACTGATACATTGGTGTTTTCATCCACCCATTCCAGTCCTGTTTCTTTTTCTGACTTTGTTGCTTTCCATGGAAACGTTGTCTCAGGAGCCCCTTCAAGGTGGCCCCAGTGCCTTGCTCTTTTGTTTGATTTTTTACTGGAGATTGCACCCAAGGATACTCTACCATCAAGATATATCCCCAGCCCTTTTTATTTAATAATTTTGAGACAGGGTCTCTCTAAATTGCTCAGGCTGGCCTCAAACCTGCGATCCTGCTACCCCAGCCTCCTGAGTCCCTAGAATCAGAGGCACCACCACACCCAGCCCCGGAGACTCTTTTGACATGATCCCATAGTCTTCCATCAGTTCTTGTTTCTGGCCTAAAGTATTATATAAAAATCTCATTTTTTCCCTAGTCTTAGTCCTGGCAATCTTTCTCACCTTTTAATCTCTATCCCCTCCTCCGTGTCCCTTGGAATAGACAAATAAGGGATATTTGAAGTGATACAAAGGAACAGAAAAGAGACGTTTTAAAATGACAAATTTGTGGCTCAGTGGTAGAGCGCTCGCCTAGCATGCACGAGGCACTGGGTTCAATCCTCAGCACCACATAAATGTAAAATAAAGATATTGTGTCCACCTAAAACAAAAAAAAAAAATTTAAAAATAAATAAATAAAATGACAAATTTACAAATTTTATATTTTATTATATATAAATGCTAAAAGGAAGTTTCTAATTTAGATAAAAGTGAACAATTTTCTAAGTCCAATATGTCCTTGTTCACTTGAATCATCTCACTTTCTTTCATGGATGATGGTTTCTGGCATGTAGATCAGGAACTCAATGGGTGCCTCAGCAAGAGACATGCTTCAGACCCACAGGGTTTCTTAGAGACAGGGCAGGGGGAGTCCACAGGGAAAGTCCACCATTCCTGCCCTAGCTCTTGCTTCCAGCTGGTTAATGCCGGTTTCTTGACTTAGCTTCCCTCTGTTCAAAAGTTCTTACCAAGTACTCGAGGTTGTCGTTGATCTCGTTTAGGTAAAACCTGAACTCAGAGCCTAGAATATATTCAATAAAAGAAGAGTTAGTTTAGAAAGGTCAAAACTTGGAAAGTTGTCATAGAAAACAGAATGCAGGGCATCCAGACACCACTGCCCACATGTTTCTGTCTCCCTCTCCCTCCCTCTCTTCCCCTGTGCTAGGGATCAAACCCAGGGCGCCTTTGGCATGTTCCACATGCTACCAGAGCTCCACCCAGGCTGCCCACTGTGTATTTAAGGGAAGTACTTTTGATGCCTAGAACATTCTCCATATTCCCATGTTACTGGCTTTACGCATCTTTACTGTGTCTGATGTTAAGCTTGCAAACCCCCAGAATCCAAGGGTGACAGGTTGAAGTAGGTCATACCCTTGGACCCTGGTTTCTCCTGTGATGCTCAGCAGCCCTTGCCTGAGGGCACACAGGTGTTTTCTGACAGACAAGGTGGCTGTTCCGCCTCTATAACTGAGTCTAGTTCCCGGGGCCAGTTCCTAGTTCCTGGACGGGTTGATCGTCTGAGCCCTGCTGAGGCAGAATTCTACAGAACTCTCATATATCACACGTCATGTGACTGAGTTGACTGCAGCCAATCTCTGCTACAGAGAAACCTGAGTCTAAGGAAGGCAGATGGTGCCCAGTCCTCTGTCCTATTACCAGAAGGGAGCCATGATGCAGACCCCATGTCTGTCAGCAAGGGGAGAAGCCCACCTACTGTCTGTGGGGAATCGAAGCAATGAGCCTGACCATCAAGCCTCAGAAGGGAGGACCACAGCGGCCATGCAGCAAATGGGACATGGAGTTTGGGGGTATCTAGGAGGGGCATGCAGGGCATCTGAGCCCTCTCGTGGGGATGAATGGGTGACCCCGTGGAAGGAGCACCTGAGATGGGGCACCTGGGACACCACAGGGTCTGTGGGTGCCATTGCAGGAACAGTGGACATTTTACCAGGAAAAGCAGGGGATCTGGCAAAATTTGTAACAAAGAGAGAGGTCAGTGGGTCCAAACTCCCTTTGCTCAGCCTGATAGTGATTGACCCGTGGAAGAGGATGTCCTTTGGGAAGAGAAAGTGTTTTATGTAATACAATACAGGAGAAATTATAATTATTAGCTGCTGTGGTTTCACTCTGTCAGTCTTGTATTGGAGAGGCAAATCAACGAATCAGGAAACGAAAATGGAAAGAAAAGTACAAATGGGACTTGATTTGTGAGTATGTGGGCAGAAGAGTGGAGATTTTGAAGTTTTGAAAGCTACCTGTAAAGCTGGAGTAATATTGATAGGTAACAGACATTAGAGAATATAAAGGTATCCAGAAGGATTAATAGAAATAAATTAGGAAGGCAACACAATCAGACAATGTGTGCAGTTTCCCACGCTGTACAGAGAAAGAGACAAAGAAGGGAAGGTGGAGGGGCCGTGGGGGCAGCAGGGACAGCTCAGGCCTACTCCAGCGCCCTGCGATCTAGTGCCTGGTCCCAAGCCCGTGGTCCACTTAACGACCCTGAGAGGGGGATGAGGGAGCCGGGGGTGGGTTTGTAAGACAGATGAAGAGAAAGGCCTGCAGGAGGTCTTTCAAGTGGGGTTGATGAGCTGGACTTGAGCCTGCGCTTGTGCAGGGCTCCTGGCCATCGTAACCACCACTTCTCCAGCCAAGACCCGGTAGGTGACAGGTCGCGCAGGTGTCCCTCTTGTTTATCCTCTGTTCTCAAATGGCCCCAGGGCCTTATCTCTTCCTAAGCCCATCCGAGCCCCCCCGCATGAGATGACCCTCCTTTCCTTACGATTGCCAGGGATCACCCACCACCACCAAAATCAGAGGGAGGAAATCGGAATCTTGGAAAGGCTCCCGTGCAGGGAGCGCCCACTCACGCTGGTTGGGGAAGTACTGGAAGTTGGCCTCCACCACGCGGCGGTGCAGGGGCTGGGTCTTGCGGTAGTCGTTGTGCAGGGTGTCGTTCCGGAAGTTCAGCAGGGAGTTCTCCAGCTTCCACACCTGCGGGGGACACTGAGTTAGGGGAGACGGCCCTGCGCCATCCTGAGGGCCAGTCAGCGCCTGGACCAGGGCTTGGCTTCCTGGGGCTCGGTGCCAGGCGTGGCTCCAGGGCCACCGCCCCGCTGACCCAAGGTCACTCCCGCACACGCTCTCAGTCTTTCTCTGAGTATCCCACAAATATTAGAAAGGAAAGAACTACTGGAAAAAACATTGAGTGGCAAGACCAACTTTGTTTCTCTGAAAATATGAGCTTTGTCCACGTCTCTCAAGGGCCGTTTTGCTGCATGAGACACTCTGGGTTGCTATTCATTCCCCTCCCACGTTGGGGAGTGATCGCACCCCTCCTGCCCTCCCCGCTGCCTGCTGAGCCAGCCTTGGTCCATTGGGACTCTCTTCATGATGACTGCTTTTCCTGTCTCATCGCATTTTAAATATTTCATTTGTCCTTGATGTTCTGTGGTTTCACTGTGATGTGTTCAGTGTAGGGTTTCTTGTAGGTGTGTGTACGCGTGTGTATGTGTGGTGTGTGTGTGGGGGGGGGGGGGTGTTTAATTGACTTCTCTCGATTCTTGAGTGTATGACTTAGTGTTCTCTGATTCTTTTTTTTTTTTAACTGACATCTGCTTAGTTTTTTTATTAAGTAGAATGGCCCAGTTAATCAACTCATTAGATTGGTCAAGGCAAGACACTTGAACTATTAAACAGAATTTAAAAAGCAGTTGGTTTTGTAGTAGTCTGGTAATTACACACACACACACATTCACACAAATTGGTAGAGTACTCTGGATATTAGATTCTCCCCATAATCTTGTATAATGCACTGTTCACAATCTGTGTTTTTTTTTGAAAATGATATAAATTGGACATGACCAAATTGGAGATGACTGATAAACTCGTAAATATTTGGGAACTTCAGCTGTATTCCCCAAAAGATTTTTTTTAATTATTAAAAAAAAGACTCATATAAAAACACAATATTTAACAGACACCTTAAAAAATCAAATTGTAACTCAATTTTCTACTGTTTAAATATGATTAAGAAAAAAGTAGTAATGTCTACAGTTAAAAAAAAGACAAACTATTAACTGGATGAATCTGGGTTGGGGGAAAGCTATACAGTATTATTGCACTCCACGGATGTGCAGAACTCCAGAACGTGCCAGCACCGAGAAACTGTTTTGTATTGAGGTTTTCCAAAAGGTCAACAAGCCTGCCAAAAAAAGCACCTGGCTGTACTAACAGCTGGCTGAATTCAGTACAGGCCTTCACAGTGTCCGTCACACTGCTCTTGCAAAGATCCCTTAATGATAGGTGAGGCTATGATTGATGATGTGGAATTGAATCCTCGTGCACACTGAGCTTCATTTCATTGTCAAGAATTTGAACAAGTTGTTGCATGGATGGAAGGTGACCAGATTCCAGCTTAGACCATACAGGCACGTATGGTCAAATGCCCCTGTTGACATACACTGGTTCTCATCAGGTTGCTTAAGAAGAAAACCATCCTACATGCATAGACCTTGTTCTCCTGGCCCCACTGCCAGATGCTAGGAACTTGCATGACAAAGAAAGCGAAAGGATCCTTGCCAGCAATTATTAAGCCCAATAATAATAGTTTGAAGACTGACAGGAAAGATGCTATGTGTCTATAAATTGGTTGAGGGAGGTAATTCCCTACTTCGATTCAATGCCTGTGCCTCAGGAAACACAAATTCTGGAACTTGAGCAGTGGCCCTGTGGCGTACTGCCTCTTTAACCTCTTGCTGGGCACACAGCCCAGGTTGGCCAAGTTCTTGCTCCAGACTACCACAGATGCCGCCACCAGGAAAGACTGGGGCTGGCCCGGAGCCTTGCCGCTGGCCTCTCTAATTCTTTTGGAAAATTGTCAGCCAATGTTTCTTCAGGTTGTGTTTTGTTTCTTCCTATTTTGTCTCCCTTCTCCTAAAATTTCAGTTAGACTTTCCCACTGTATTTTCATGTCTTTTAACTTCTTTTTCACATTCCCATCTCTTTTTTTCTCTGTGTAGCAATCTAGATAATGTTCTCAGCTCCGCCTTCCAGTTTACTAACTCTCTCTTGAACTATATCTAACATGATGCTAAATTTATTCATTGGATTGTTAACTTCAGTTACTATTTTCTCATTCTATTTAAAACCTAACTTCTACTGTTTTAAGTCTGGTAAGCCATTTTATATGTTTTTTATCTTTTCCTCACATGTAAACTTCTTATTTCTTCATATATGTGAAATATGTTAACATAAATGATCTGATAATTTCACTGATATCTTTGTAGGTCTGATTCTGCTGACCTACACTGATAGTGTATTTTTCCTGTGTGTTTTGTGATTTTTTTTTCAGTGCTGGGGATCAAACCTAAGCCCTTCCACACACTAAGTAAGGACTCTACCACTGAGCTCCGTCCCCAGCTCAAGTGTAACTTATTTTAATTGAGCTAATTTCTACTGACTTGTGGAAATTCTTAGATCTAGATTTAAACTTAGTTTTTACAGATAATTTACATTTGCTTTTATCAGGTATCTGGGGGCAGCTTCCAGGCTGGTTAGCGACATTTGTTGGGGGTGGTCCTTGAGGAGGTGGCAATTCTTCTCCAAGGTCTAAATATGAAGCAACCATTTTAACATGATAAAGAACTAAATTTGGAGCAATCCTTCTTGTGTAAAGGTATTCCTGCTGTTAGCATGGAAGCTCCATGAGGGACCCAGGATTCTTATCATTAGCCACCATGTGCAACTCTCCCAGGACTGGGATCAGGCTCCAGTCCTTTCGCCACATCAACCATAAGTTCCTTGGATTCCCTGATGCCTCTGTTTCCCCGTCTCTGCCACAGCCCTTGTGAAATCACCCATGTCACGCAGGTGACACAGCAGTCTGGTACTAGCAAATGCCACAGGAGCCCCAGGAATGGGCATGAGCTAAGGTTCTGGGAGCTCTTGTTAACGAGACCATCAAAGGGAGAAACTAGCCACGTGAGCCCTGGAGTTACCTGAGACCTGGAGAGCTTGACGGAATCTGCCAGCACAAACCAGTGGACATTCTCCGTGCAGGGGGGAGTGGTGAGCGACCCCTCGTAGGTGTAGTAGTGGTAGAGGTCCCTGGGCAGCATGTCCTGAATGTCAAGGCCTCTCAGAATTGTTCTTTGTCCTAAGACAGAAAATAAAGGGACATGAGGAACCTCGGGTGGACAGCTCAGGCTCAGGCCATGCCATGTCCAAGTGTCCTGACTTGAGCACAAGTGCATGGACCCCAATGATTGAGACACATTCCCAGGCGACTGCTTTTGGAAGGGGTTAAGAGCAGACTTTGGGGACAGATGCACTCAGACGCCTCCTCCTGGCTGGGTGGCCTTCGTTGGGTGCTCACTCAAGAGCCGTTTCCTCTCTGTAAAAAGGCATGATTTGACTGGGGGTGTAGCTCAGTGGTAGAGCACTTGCCTGGTTCCAGCCCCAGCGCCACAAAGAAAAACAGGGAATAACAACAGGACTGTGTGAGGGTGGAAAATAATGATCTTTACAAAGTGGCTGGCAGTGACCAGCCCACAGGGAAGCACTCAAGGGTGTAGCTGTCACCTTGTCATCACTGTTAGAGGATACATGTCACAATAAATGAGAGAAAAGAATTAGTACTCTGAGGCTTCCGGGTAAGTGCCCTCAAGGAAAGAACAAAACCCCTTGGCATGGGGTTGTGCCAAAGTGGGTGGAGGTTGGAAAGCAGAGCCAGAGCCCAGCTGGGTGCTGGCTGCTGGAATCTGGTCCTGAACTGCTCCTGCCCCATCCCACGGGACTGGGTTCAGCCACAGGTGCGGTGAGGAGACCAGCTCTTCCTCAGGGTGTCTGAAGCCTCCACAATGCCCATACCCATCACTGCACCTAGACAGTCACTGTTCTGTTCATGTCAAGGACATTGGGGGCTGCAGATGTAGCTCAGGGGTCAAGCACAGCCCTAGCATGCACAAGGCCCTGGGTTCCATCCTCAGCACCCCAAAACAAAGCAATATGCGAGCCCCTTAGCTCAGCATGAGACCATCAAAGCAACAAGAATTTGAGGGGGGCTGGGGATGTGGCTCAAGCGGTGGCGCGCTCGCCTGGCATGCGTGCGGCCCAGGGTTCGATCCTCAGCACCACATACAAACGAAGATGTTGTGTCCGCCAAATACTAAAAAAATAAATATTTAAAAAAAAAAAAAAGAATTTGAGAGGGGGTCTTGTCCCACTCGCCCTGAGCAGTTATATGCCTTTTAATGGCAAAAAGAATCAGTTCAGGGACTGGCCCAGAAGGCGGTGGGAACACAAAGTTAAGTTGTGGCTAGCATAAGTCTTAGGTCCGCCTGGCAACACCAAGCAGACAGCTGAAGAAAGGGATCTGGGGTTCAGAGAGAGCTCGTTCCTTAACTGGAGGAGGAAACACATGCACATCCATAGCAGAAGGAGAATATCTGAGGCCAGCACCCTCAAGGGAAAGCCAGAGTTGCTACAAGCTCCTGCTTTTTCCTGCTGGCATTGTTCATGGAAGAAATTAGCCAGGATGTTCTTGCATTCATCCACATTGTCACCGCATGGAGGACCAGACCGAGATTTCTGAAATCCTGGGACCGAGGTCACCAAGAGAAGACAGACCAGTAGTTAAGAGCAGGAGCCAGAGAAAGGACAAGATTAGCAGAGCTAGAGTGGGGCACAGTGGCACATGCCTGTAATCCCTGCCTCTCAGGAGGCTGAGGCAGGAGGATCACAAGTTCAAAGTCAGCCTGGGCAATAGAAGAGACGGTATCTCAAGATAAATAACTAAGGCGTGGGATGCAGCTCAGTGGTACGGTGCCTTTGAGTTCAATTCCCAGTAAGAGGGAAAGAGAGAGAGAGAGAGAGGAGGAGGAGGAGGAGGAGGAGGAGGAGGAGGGGGAGGAGGGGGAAGAGGAGGAGGAGGAAGAAGAAGGGGCAGAGGCAGTAAGAAAAGAGCAGGAAAATAGCCAGTAGCTGAGACGCCAGGGATGGCCTCAGCTGGCTCAGTGGATCGAGGAGCCATCTTAGGGAACATACATACTGGACACTGTTCCAAGGGGAGCTGAAAAAGGGGTGGAATCTGAGAGACTGGTGGCGTACAGAGATTCTTGACTGTGTTTGAATTCCGAGCAGGAGGTACCTACAGATTCGTGTGCTGGGCAGAAGGAGAGTGAGACGTCGGCAATGCAGGAGAAAGAGCGGCAGAAAGGGCCCGCAGAGGGGGCGGGTGGCACCCATGGGAGGGGCTCTTTTCATTCACTGGGACAGAAGAGGGGACGTGGAGCCCAGTCCAGAGGCAGGTGGGCTAGGAAGAGGGGAGGGCTCCACCTTCTCAAGGAAGCGGGAAGCCAAGGCGCCAGTCGGCAGAGGAGCTGGAGGAGCCCAGGGGCTGCAGCGGAGAAGAAGGGGGGAAGGTGGAGAGGGGGAGGAGACACCAGGGCTGTGTTTCAGGGTCTGGGTAGGGCTGGTTCACGTCCGTGGCTACCACGTGGGTGGCTGCGGTTCCCGCAGAGCCACGTCCAGCTCCGGCTGCAGGCTCTGAGTGTCGTGGGCTTTGCCAGGGGAGTGTCCAGGGCGTGGAGGTCACAGACACTGGAGGCGTTGGTGTGGGAGTGGAGGGGTCTGCGTGGAGTGTTGGGGGCTGTGGAAGACATCTGCGCGGGAGGGCCGTGGAATCTCTTAGGCAGAGAGAGGAGAGGACGTGAGGGGGGACTAGCTATGTGAACGTGAGGCCCACGGACTGGAGGACTCAGGCAGATGGATGGCTGGAGGGTGAGGGCTGAAGGCAGAGTGAGCTGGGAGTCCGGGAGGGGTGGCCAGAGCAGATGAGGTCAAGGCTTCAGAGCTGACATGGTCATAGCTCAAGGTCAGGATTTGGCCTTGAGAGGGGACAGTGACTGAGAAGAGCGCTGCCTCCTGGAGGCAGGGGGTAGGAAGACCTGTGTGTCCAGGCCGGGGCTCCACTCGGGAGACTCATCTCAACGTGGGGCTAGGGTGGGCATCTCCCGCTGGGGACCAAGATTGTCCCTGCCAGATGGGGCCAGGAGGTGAGAGTCACTGAAGTTAGGATGTGGCCAGTCGGCCGTCCAGAACGTCCAGTCATGGGAATGGACAAGTGGAGTTTACGAACAGGTGTCTCAGAGATGCGCCCTGCCTGAGCCAAGAGCAGGGATCACGGGACAAGTGAGCTCTGGAAGCTGGGGCTGGGCTCCTTGGCTGGGCCCATGGGCCTCCCCCAGGGTCCCCTTCCCCCTCCCCACCCCTGTCTCACACTCACGCTCCTTCCTCTTCCCTCCAGAGGCTGCCCCTGGGGTCCCTTACCTGGGTACCTGATGTCGGCCAAGTGGGAGATAAAGGTGCTGTAGTAAGTGTTCTCAGCATACTCATTGACCTGGGGAGGGACAGAGCCGTGAGCAACAGTGGGGACCACACCACAGGCCCCATCTCGGAGCCAACCGTCTGGTTCTCCAGCTGGCAGCAGAGGAGAGGGCAAGGTGGGGGCAGCCCTGCCCAGTGGCGTCGGGGCAGACAACGTGGCTGTTAAACATTTCCAGGGTACTCTTTGCCATTTTTAGTAATTTGCTCATTGCTTGCTTTAGTGACAAAGTGTACAAATTGATGACAGTCCACATCAGGCTACTGCTAACTTCATTCCAGTGAAACAGCAAATTCACCCCAATATAGCTGTCTCTCTTCCCCTCACTTCGATTCTTTGAACATGGTTTTCTTTAATTATTTGAATAAACTTACTTTACAGTACTATGTACTAACTACTCTGAATCCACTCAGTTCATTTCTATGGATTATTTTGTTTTCCCCCCTCTCTCCTAACATTATATTTTCCTATTTCTTTGTATAGCTTTTATGTTTTTGTAGAAAAATGAACATTTTAGATAATATGTGGCAGCAATTATCTTAATTATGGGTTGTTTTGTTAATTGTCCTGAAGCTATCCCGTGTGTGTGTGAATGTGTGTGTGTGTGTGTGAGTGTGAGTGTGTGTGTGTGTGTGTTCAGTAATTTGCCTGAGCTGAATCTGCAGGATGGCCTCCCCAGCAGTATATGGCAGCTGGTGTCTCTGCTTATTTTTTAAATATTAGTTTTATTTCTAGGAGCCACCTAGGAGCAGCAGACGTTCATGGCCAGTAAAGGATCCAGGCAGAGGCTGTGCTCAGCCCCTTGAGCCCTGAGACTTCCACCCCGACTGGCTGCACTACAGCGGGCTGAGACGACAGAGTTCCTCAGCTCCCACGTGGGCGGCTTTAGCTTCTAATTTCCAGCAGGCCCCGGTGCGTTCTTGTGTTGCTTCTGTGTCTCTCTTACTCACAGGTGTCCCCTGTACATTTCTGACTGGTTCTGCTCCACCCGGGACTGCTACGGTGCTCCTGGGCATGGGTTTTCAACTCTCTGCTCCAATCCAGGCAGTGGAACTGCTGGTTTCCCTGACCAGTCTTGATAAGGCCACCTGGCTGGCCGTGGGGATGGGACAGCCCCCACTGAGAAGTCCACAGACCTTACTGTCCTGACTTAAAATCCCGACCATTTTCCATGAATAGATGCCTTAACTTGTTGTCTGTCTGTGGCCCATTTCCAGAGGACTGAGATGACTGAGTGTCTTGGTACTTTTTTTGTTTTCTGGGTTTTTGTTGTTGTTGTTGTTGTTGTTTTGTGATGCTGTGGAAAGCATTGGGTTTGGTTTCCACAGCTTTGTCCAATTTTAATAGTTACTTTGAGGGAATTCTATTCCTGACCGCTTCTGGCCACCTGGCCCTAACACCCCACCTCTGGACTTTCTTAGAAACGCAGAGGTACTGCCCCTGACTGGTTGGGTTGGAGGCTTCCCACCAGGGGGTCCAGTCGGCCCTTCTGTAGATTCTGGGTCTTTTAAGCCTTCTTATCCCAGTTTTCTAAGGCCCCCGAGGTTGACACACAGAAGGAGTAAGCAGGGGCTGGAAAAATGGCCCATCTGGCCTTGAGCCAGTCCTTCCAGGACTGAGCCCAGGAGAGAAGGAAGACTGTGGTGAGGACGCCCCTCACCCGACACGCCCCTGCCTGGACCACAGCCTGTGCTGCCAGTACAGACCCATCTTCCCCGTCCTCCTGCCCACCTCCACAAAGGCTGCCAGGACGGCCAGGCCATCCGATGCGTCCTTGGCTATGTCGTAGCTGTCGTATTTCGCATTGTAGTGGACAACGTGGATCTGTGGGAGTAAGACAGGGCCAGTCAAGGGCAGTTCACACCGACTTCAAACACTACAGGTTTCCAACACGGGAGGAGAACAGAGAGAGATGCTCCGTCTGAGACCGCACACTGTCCTGCACAAACGAGCCTGCCCTCCTCTCCTACCATCTGGGCTATGAGCCCCATCTAGGAAGACCAGAAATTTCTGCAGGAACGGAAAAAGCACAGGAGGGCTCTGGCAAGATGGCAGCTGGAGGGTATTTCCCTAAAACCCCTCCCTCCAGGGAAATAAGTGGGCAGAAGCTAGAGGGACCATGTGAGGACCCTGGAGAAATTAGAAGGAGCAAATTCACCCTCTTGCCCCAGGAGGCCACTGCAATCATCCTGAGGATGAATCTAGGCCAAGAAGAGAGTACCTAATGTGGGGAAATTCAGCTGAAACAGAGCTTGCCCCACCCAGAGGGCCGCCAACTCCAGACTGCAAGACAATGAGGGCAGGGACCCTGCTGGAGCTCCCTGTACAAACCAGTAGTCAATCAAGAGTTGCTGAATGAATGCAAAAGAAACTCGACCACAGAGTGACTTACTGTCACCATTGCACACAGTCTGTTTGGCTATTTTAGTGAAAAAAAAAAAAAGACCAAGGAGCTTGAAGGCCAGAGGACTGACCCCAGGGTCTTCACATACCTCGATCACATGTCTGATCCCATCAATGGTGTGCTCGGAGCCGCTGACCTCTGAGGACCCACCACCCCAGTGGTAGTGCATCTGCTTGGTGACATACTCGGTGCCATCAGGGGCCATCATGCGCATGGTAGGAGGTAGGTTGATCTGCACTGGAAGACATAACACAGGGCAGGGAGCAGGGCAGGTGTGCGTGGGCAGCTCAGCCTTCAGGTTAGGCAGCTCTTCCCACCCAGGACCAGCCAGGGGCACACACAGCTTAGAGTGCTAGGAGAGGGGTCCCCAAAGAGGAGGGGCAGTGGCACTCAGGACAGAGGGTGAGGTCCAGATGGCCAGGACACCTTCCACCCAGAACCAGCAGGTCACAGGCAGGACCAGGCAGAGGCAGGTCCAGCTCATTGGTCCTGGGGAAGGGAAAGCCACCCAAAAATATAGCTGATGGGTGTGGAAACCAGAATTCCATTCTCTGCCTCCAGCCAATTTTGAAATTTGCAGATGTAGGAGTAGGAAGTGGGGCCTCTGAGGGCTGTTTTGGTTAACGTTACCACCCAGGTGAGGGCTATTTGCAAGGCCAAGTTGAGATGATGCTCTTCTTCATGACACCTGGAAATGCTCACCTCACACAGCCTTCTGGAGTTAGCCCAGCTAAGGTCCCGCTCGACTCGGGGGGTCAGGGGGCATCCCTGCTGCATGGACAAGGAAGCTGGCCCAGGGAGTGGGAAACATGCTCAGAGTCACACAGTTCAACAGGCAGGAGCAGAGCTGGGCGGAGAACGAGAGCCGCATCATCCCCAACCACAGTCGCCAACATGTGGCTCAGCTTGTCTTCAGAAGATAGGAGACCAAGTTCCCCAGCAAGCCAGGAACCCGTGCGTCCCTGTGGGGTTTAATTGGACTGTAACTATCAATGGATGCACTAAAATGTTAGGCTCTGGCCAGTGGAAAAAATAAATGGTTCTTCCAGCTTCCTCTTGCCTCTCCTCCTACACTTCCTGTGGGGAGGCCACTCCCGTCGACAGCTACAGTTGTTCATCTCACGGGCTTGGACCGTGGGGAAAATTTCATCTTTTGGAATGCAAAGTCCAGAGAGAGACTAAGGAAAATATGTTAGGGTGTGATTCAGGACTTGGAAGGGGCAGGGGCGTCCATCCTGTCGGCAAGGTCTTGCTATTTGAAATCAGTGAAGGTGGCTATAAAGGAGTAAGTCTTTTTTTATTATTATTATTTTTTAGTTATAGGTGGATACAATATCTTCATTTTATTTTTATGTGGTGCTAAGGATCAAATCCAGTGCCTCACGTATGGTAGGCGAGCGCTCTACCTCTGAGCCACAGCCCCCCCACGCCATTTTTTAATATTTTTTTTTTTTAGTTGGACACAATACATTTATTTATTTATTTATATGTGGTGCCGAGGAACGAACCCAGGGCCTCACACATGCTAGGCGAGCGCTCTACCACTGAAACACAACTCAAGCCCAGGAGAAAATCTTCTTAAAAAGCAAACATTAGGGGTTTGAGATGCCTGGATGAGATGCCCCTTGCTCCTTCTCATCTAAAGGAGCTGGGAGCACTGGTTAAATTCATCGTGTGCCATGCGCTGAGATACAGGAACTGACCTCAAGGATTTTAATGGGTCCTTAGCAGAGCAGGTGCCTTGTATTTAGAGCTCGAAACTTAGCCAGACTCAAAACCAATATTCACAAGAAAAGAATGGAGGGCTGGAGATGTGGCTCAAGCGGTAGCGCGCTCGCCTGGCATGCGTGCGGCCCGGGTTCGATCCTCAGCACCACATACAAAGATGTTGTGTCCGCCAAGAACTAAAAAATAAATATTAAAAAAAAAAAAAAGAAAAGAAAAGAATGGAAATCTTTAAAAGGAGGTAAAGTCAGCAATGTTGAGAGCAGACGGGACCTGGGAGCCGAGGACCAGGCCAGAGCTTCTAGATGACACCCAGTTGGCCCCACACAAGTGATAAGAGATCCTGAAAATTATGTTTCCCCAAAACGCAGTTCCCAGGAGACAGACTGCCTCGGGGCTGAAGTTCCACTGAGAGGCCTGCACAGGCCCGGGGGAGGAGCAGTGATTCTGAGCCAGCTTGGGGCTGCGTGGATGAAAAGATGGGGCAGACATATCCATCCCCCAAAAACTAACTCGCTAAACCTTCTAGATTCTGCAGAAGGACTCAGCTTCCAGAGGAGGAGACTCCCCTCTTCATGGGGAACGAATTTAACTGAATTCTCATCAGACAAAAAAAGTCTAACAAAATAGGATCAAGATCTATATGAGGAAAACTACAAAACTCTGATGAAAGAAATCAAAGAAGTCAATAGATATTCCATGTTCATGGACAGGAAGAATCAATATTGTTTCAGTTCTTCCCAACTTGATCTATAGGTTCAAAGTGAAGCAAATCAAAATCCTAGAAAGTTATTTTATGGACATTGGAAAACTAATTCTAGGTTTATTGGTGAGGCAAAATACCCAGGAGAGCCAACAGAATATTAAAAGAGAAAAACAATTGGAGTATTGACATTATCTAACTTTACAACTTACTAGAAAGCTATAGTAATCAGGTCAGTGTCCTATTAGAAGAATAGACAATCCCAACAACTGATTGCTTTCTTTTTTCTTTTTTCTTTTTTTTTTTTTTTTTTGAAATGGAGTCTTTCTGGCCTGGGCTCATGTCATTCTCCCACCTCAGCCTCCCAGGTAGCTGGGACTGCAGTTGTGCACATCCTACTTAGCTTTAATCAATTTATCTTTAACAAAGAAGTAAAAGACTACAAGAAAACACAGCAAAGATAGTCTTTTCAACAAATTGTACTGTGCAACTAGACATCTGCTTTAAAAAAGAAAACTAGATACAGACCTTATACCTTTCCCCAAAATCTACTCAGAATGTTCCATACACCTAAATGTAAAATGCAAAACTACAAAACGCTCAGGAAGAAATTCAGGTGATATTGAGAATGGTGTTGACATATTTTTAAGTACTGGGGATGGAACTCAGGGCCTCATACATGCTAGGCAAGTGCTCTACCATTGAGCTGTACCCCAAACCTGAGGTACATTTTAAATACACTACCAAAGGCACCATCTATGAAATAAATTATTGAAGAACCAGATTCTATTAAATTTTAAAACTTCTGCTCTGCAAAAGCCACTGGCTAGAGAGCAAAAAGCCACGGACCAGGAGAAAGTCTTTACAAACGTATCTGGTAAAGGGTTATTATCCAAAACGTACACACAGAACTCCTAGAACTCAACGAGGAGAAAATGAATAACCTGATTTAATAATGGACAAAAAGCCCTGAGCAGACACCTCATCAAAGAAGAGGTGCAGATGGTAAATGTGCACATGAAAAGCTGCTCAAGATCACTTGTCTTCGGGGAACTGTAAATGAGCCCAGCTAGGATATGCCATTATGCCCACCAGAAGCGGAGAGGGCTTCTGACAAAGCTAAACAAGCTCTGCCCTTGTCATCCCGCAACCATGTGCCTTGGTATTTGCCCATGTGAGCTGGAAGCTTGCACCCACACAGAAACCAGCATTAGATTTTATAGCAGCTTTATTAATAACTGACTAGACTTGGGAGCAAGTGAGATGTCTCTGATAGGTGAATGGATACAGGAAAAATGGTACATCTAGACAAGGGAATATTATTCCGTGCTAACGGAAATGAGCTCCCGATACATGAAACTAAGTCCGAGAAGCCAATTTGCAAGGCCATATACTGCATGACTCCGACTGCAATGCGACCTTCTGCAAAAGGCAGAACTATGTGACAGTAAAACGATCAGTGGTTGTCAGAGGTTAATAAGAGTAAGAGGGATGAGCTGGATGCGGTGATGCACGCCTGCAGTCCCAGTGACCTGGAAAGCTGAGGCAGGAGGATCACAAGTCTAAGGCCAGCCTCAGCCACTAAGTGAAACCCTGTCTCAAATAAAAAAGGGCTGGGGGTGTAGCTCAGTAACAGAGCGTCCCTGGGTTCAATCCCCCATACCAAAATAAAAAAGAGAGAAGAAAGAACTCTCTGTACTTTCTGCTCAATTCTAAAAAATAGTTTAGTAAAAATACATGCTAATGTGAAACAATGATAATTTAAGTCACAACTAACAAATGTTTAATTTCATCATGTTAACGTGTCACCAAACTTAGCATTCATCAAAAGTTCATTAGATTTGATATTTGTAGGTAAGGATTTTTCTTCAGTAGAATTCCTGAATGTGCCTGGAGCCTGCTGAAAAGTTATAATTAATTGTAATCAATATAACCAAATAGATTCAAAAGATAAATTTCTAAAAAAAAAACCTTCAAAATACTGCACATCAAAAATACAGGGGTACCAAGTGTGTTGGTGTACCCCTGTAGTCCCAGCTACACAGGAGGCCAAGGCAGAAGGATGTCTTGAGCCCAGTAGTATGAGGTCAGACTGTCTCTTAAAATAAAAAAGAAAGAAAGCAATTGTAGCTCAGTGGCAGAGTGCCTGCCTCGCATGCACAAGGTCCTTGGTTCAATCCCCAGTGCACACACACACAAAAGTTGCCATTAGTTATCCATAGGTTTCAGCGACCCCAGTCACATGTACCTGAGGCCATTGTACAGATACGACTTCATTCCCCATTTATCACTCTTGCTAGTCCCATAAGGACAACTGGTTTTATTTTCTCAGTTGTGCAATACACACCTGTGCGTAGGTGAAATGGCCCAACCTCGAACCCAGGTGGGGATGCTGAGGAGGACGTGACAGCAATCAGACATCTGGGCCTCTGGGCCACTCAGCCCTCAGAGACTGTGACCCTGAGTGAACCTGACCTCCCGGGTTCTCAGATTTCCCACCAAATACGCCCCTTCCTGGGGTTGTCATGAGGCTCAGGGAAGAAGGGCCCCGGGGAGAGTCAGGAGGACACCCTGCCAAGCACAGCGCGGGTCTGATGGCTGCCTGGAGCAGACCCCCCGAGACCCAGCTCTCCCATCGCCCTTCACCCGCTTCCTAACAAGGAACAGAGATGAGAGGTCTGTTTCCAAACCTCTGAGAAATATGGGGCTCGGGAGCTTTGTGCTAATCAGACTCAAGATAGAAAAGTGGGAGAGCAGGGCAGAGGGGCAGAAGCACAGGCAGGAGTGTGGCTCCAGCACCACTGTTGGCCCCACCTGGCTCTTCTGGTTGGGTGACAGTGTGTTCTGGTGACAATAATGGGGAATGATGAGGCCATCAGGGAATCGGGCTTGAAGGCAGTAGCTGTCGGGCTCCAGAAGAGTCACCGGGTTCAGACTTCCCTTGGCACTGCCAACCCTCATGTCCCAGACCTCCAGCTCTGAGCTGCCTTCCTGGTCCCTCTGTGGGTCACTCCTGGCAGGTGTGTGTGTCAGGAGGCCCCTTTCTGCCTTCCACCTGCCAGGGCAGCAGCAGGCTGCGGCTTCCCCGCCCTTACCTGTGTGGCCATTGTTGATCATGGTCAACTCGTCCCCACGGTCCTCCTGGTAGCCCGTCAGGTTCAGCGCCTTCAAAGCCGGGTTGAAGCGCACCTTATTATGCTGCAGGTCAATGGGCGACTGCCTGTGTCCCCCGCAGGCCGGGTATTCCTGCGGCCAGAGGTCCTCTTCCAGTCCCCCCTCTGAGGCAGGAGAGAATGGGTTCAAGGGACGGAGCCCCCAGCAGCACCTTACCAGGCCAGCTGCCTGGGCCTCCCGAGGGGGACCCCACAGGGAAAGCAGAAACAGACCTCTGCAAGGAGACCTGAGGGGGGGTCCTAAGTCACCTCCAAGGACTTGGTTTTGGGGGGACTTTGAGGCTAACCTCGAACTCTCCTATTGCAACCACCAGCTCTGGACACCCGACTTGGTATTTTAAAAACGTTGACAGTCTTTTCCGCAGAGCCACTTTCCTGCTCCTTTGCGTTATTTGCGACTGATAAACGCACTGGAGGAACTCGGCTGGGATCACTACCTGACTTCGGGAGGGGAGTCTCCTGGTTCCCTCTGGGTGGCGCAGTTCCTTCCAAGCCCCCGGCGGCAGCTCCCTTCTCCCCACGCTATGAGAACCCCACTCTGCCACTTTCCATGTTCCACATCCTTTTATGGGCCTCCAGGATGGTCAGGACCACCTGAGTGACACCCAAGGATTCAGGTCATCTAAGGAAGCATCTGGTTCAAGGGCCTGGCACGGCTCGCTTAAAAACATGTAAAGCCCAGTGTGGTGGCATGTGCTTGTAGTCCCAGATACTCAGGAGCTTGGGTAGTGGAATGGCTGAGGCCAGGAGACCAGTCTGGACAACAACCTCACACACACACACAAACACAAAAAAAAATCAGAGAAAGGAAAGTTGTCTTTTTGGAGATGGTTAATAATCACAGGGAGGAGCCAGGCGCAGTAGTGCACACCTGTAATCACAGAGACGAGGGAGGCTGAGGCAGGAGGACTGCCAGGAGGATTGCATGTTTGCAACTAAGCAAGACCCTGTCTGAAAATGAAAACTGAAAAGGGATAGGGATATAGCTCAGTGCTAGAGCACCCCCGGGCGCACTCTAATCATCATCATCATCATCATGGCCAGAGTAATGAAGACCAGTTGTTATTTCAGATGATTTAGCCCCCCCCCAAAGAAGGTCTTTGTTTCACTCATTTACAATTGAGGATCCAACCTCTCCTTCCCCCTTTAGGGAAGAGTGGTGTGGTTTTGTGTGTAGCTTGTTCTAAAAATGCTGTTCGTGTTGGGGCCTTCATGGTTTGCAATCAATAGAAAAGTCTGTTCTTTACTTCTCTGTTCTTCACTATTTAATAATTCAAAACAATTTTTAAACAATTCTTTCCTAGGGCTGGGATGTAGCTCAGTGGTAAAGCACTCGCCTCACATGCAGGAAACCCTGCGTTCTACCCCCAGCACCAAAAAAGAAAAAATTAAAAAAAAAAACCCACCCCCAAAGCAATTTTTTCCTAGAGGCAAGATGCTGAGATGGAAGCAGAAAACTCTAGCACAGGCTTCTTGAATCCTAATGCTTGGCCCTGGGCTCCTGGCAATACTGGGACAGCCACAAGTATTCCTACACAGCCCTTAAAATCTACTCCCATGCTCACAGAAGCTGGCTGAGCTGGTGGGGGTGGAGGTGACAGATCCCTATCATGGACTCCTCCCTCTTCCTCCACCTCTGAACCATTCCTAGTGCCACCATCAGGTGAATCAGGAAGCCCAGAGTCCTCAAGGCAGGTACTTGGGATCCCCTCTCGAGGTCAGGATGGTGGGTTGGAGCTGCCCTCTGAAGCTCCACTCTATGAGCTCCTCTAGAATGTTCCTGATTCTGTTGTCCTTGTCTCAAACAAAAGGACTCAACATCCCTGAAAGGTCTGACCCTGTCACCGGGGGCAGGTGGACTGTGCAGAGCAGGCTCGTGCCACGTCTGCCTCCTGTGCCAGCAGCAGCTACCCACCTCCCGGGCCCCACTCCCTGGCTCAGTACAGAAAACGGGGTGCAGTCGGGAGGCCTCAGGAGGCCACATGAAGGGGATCCAGTGTCCACAACCCCAAGGACATGGGCTTCCTTTGTTTGGCTCACATGTGGGCCAGAACCTATGCCAGATCCAAGACTTTAAATTTCATATTTTTGATCTTGTTTGGCAGCCTGGAGGCCTTCCCCTACGGTCAAGATGCTCTGAGTGAACTGCGTGTCAGGACACTCCCAGAGGTGGGAGCTCTCAGTAACCTGCAGTGCCCTCTGTGAGGACAGGGGGGTCCTTTCGGAGAACTTCCTCTTCCACTTACACAGACCAATAAAGCACAAGGTTTCACAATCAGAGATGGGAGTGGGCTCTCCGACCCCCCAAGTCCATGGGTGGAAAAGGTTTCAAAGCTCAGAGCCTACAGTGAACCAGGGGTTGCTACCGGGGGAAGTTATTTCCTCTTTTTCTTCAAGGAAGTTTAAGGTCTCTTTGTTCTCCATTCACTGGGAGACAGGAGAAGGCAGCATCTCCTCCACAGTGAGGAGACCCACCAGAGGAACCACCCAGAGGTGGGTGGGCTCCCTTGCATCCAGCCCTGAATTGCCTGGTGTGGCTGCCATCCTCAAGAAGGGGGGACTCCGTTCCTCAGTGTGGGGCGAACCTAGGAAACCCCGCGGGGGTGCCATCTTACCTGAATAGGACCACTCGTGTTGGGCCTGGGCGCCCAGGAGGAGCAGGGACACCAGAGTCACCACAGCCCTCATGACGCTGCAGGTCTGGAAGCAGGACAGATCCTGGGGAAGCTCTTCTTTTAAAGCTCAGAAGCTGTAAATAACAATTTACCACATGCAGCTGGTTGATCCACCCTTTGCTGCACCCATGAAAACAATAACACCCGCCCCACAAAGGCCCTTCTGACCAGGTTCCTTGTGCACACACACCTCATCCCCTCCCCAGGCACTGCCATGTCCAATTAGCCTGTGTTTGGTTGTTCAATGTCCTGACTTGGGAAATTCACTGGAAGGGCACACTGTGCGACCATTGTGGAGGAAGGAACTCTCCCCAGGATGGCCACGGCCATGGCACTGAGCAGCAGGAAGCAGGGGCTTCTCCTAAGCCATGCCACTTCCTCTGCCCTTTCTCCTGGCTTCTGAAGGGGCTGGTTGGGACCTGAACATGTGGCCCGATTCCAATTGGTATTTCCTGGCTGTCACAGAATGGACGTGAGCCACCACTGCAGGTTTATATGACTGTCCTTGGACAGGCTCCTGGGGAAGTGGCCTGGCTCCCCACACGTGAGCAAAGAATGGAGGTCCCCAGCTAGAGGCCTGATGCGCTGACCTCCCCTTAGACCAGCAGCTGGCCCTGAGGCTTGGCTCAGGAGCTAGCCTCACACATGCCTTTGGGCCACCGGCACTTGCAGGAGGGTGAGCATTTCTCGGGGATCCCTTCTGACAGCTGCAGTAGGCTTGGACACACCCAAACCAATCAACTGGATGGATGGCTTGCCCAATCCTCCCACTGCACTTGGCTGGGGAAGGAGGAAGGCTGGCATTCACGCCTGCGGACAGGCCAGCATTTCCCATGCCCTATCTGAGACTGCAAAGGCAAAGGGCAGGCAGGCTTCCTGCAGTGCCCTAGCCACGCTGGCGAGACACAAAAGGTCACAGTGTTCTGGCAAACAGAGCATGGACCCTTCCCCCCCATTCACCTCATGGCTCACTTGTCCTGGAGTCTGAGGGATGCTGGGAAGGCAAAGTGGCAGCGTGCTTCACGAGGGGGCATGGAAGGGAACGTGGGAGCTCCCGAGTGTCTCCAAGGGCCCCCTCTGCCATCTAACTAGGGCTTGTCATTGCTGCAAAGACCCTGCTGAAAACTTAGATCCCTAAAGTTCAAGGGCTGAAGGAATCCCCAAGGAAGCAAGGTCAAGAGCAAGGATTCTGAGTAGACCAGCAGCGTTCGGAGCCAGCTCTGCCACTTAGGAGCAAGTTCCCTACCACTCTGTGCCTCAGTTTCCCACCTTCAGAAGGAGTTGATGTTAGTACCTCCCTCCTGGGGATTCCACTGTGAGTCTGTGCATAGTCCCAAAGCGGAGTCCCGTGTGTGGCAAGTGGCATTATTATCTATTCAGACCCCTTGTTTTATGGACAAAGAAGTGACTGTCACCCTGCGAGTTAGTGAGGGAACAAGAGGTAAAAATGACTTGGCCTCTGGTTCACAGAACTTTGCCACATTGCAGAAATTCAAGACCACTGTGTAGACCCTACAAGTCCCCCTCTGCCCAGGAGCATAAGGATACAATGACCCTTAGGCAAGCCAGGGACCCTTGACATCACACTGGCAGCAAAACACAAACTGAATTTTTTCTTGGGACTCTGCATTGGGAATGGAGAGGGTGGAGGCAATGCAGACAGACCAGCACCCATAGGCGACCACCCACAGGTCACGCAGCAGCAGAAGCCCGCAGATCTGGCTGGGTATGCACATGCCCAGGGAGGGAAAGAGCTCGTGAATACGCTGAGCCACAGCCGTGGGGAAGGCTGCACAGAGAGAGAAACCAAGGGGCCTTGGGAGTCAGAGGAGACGGGACAGTTGCTCCGGGCTTTGCTGCCCCGGGCTTAACACTCTGGGATTCCCTGGAGAGCCCTGATGCTTCTGTGGCCCAGCTGATCCTCACAGTCCCTGCGGGCTACAGCCCCACTGCAACTACCCACCCAGCTGGTCTGAGGGTCTGCCCTGGTTTCTTCATGACTCTGACTCAGGCAAGAGCCTGAACAGGCCACTAACTTGGACAGCGGGCTGATATTGAGGACAGGTGTTAAGGGGGTAATTAAGTTAATAAAGGGAGCAGGTCAGATAGGCTTTTGGAATAGATGAGCCATCTGCTAATGAGGGCACATTAGTAGAGACAAGTTCCCTTCCCTCTTCCGGGCAGCATACTCCCAATGACATGATCCAGACAGAATCAAGTAATGTGAATCTCATTGCCTAACTTCTGACTCACTGTCTTCTTTGACCCCAAAGTTTTCCATCATCTGTGAACATGAAACTTCTTCCTACTGGAATTAATGGGGCACATTGTTTCTTGTGTGCGTGCATGTGTGTGCGCGTGACTTTAAACCCTGAACTTTCTTCTGCCTTCCCCCAGCCACATCCTCATCCTCGGGTGAATGTTATTCTGCACTCCTGTTACCCTGGCACCGGGGTTTGAAGGGCTGTCTGAAAGACTTGACTTGTATTTTATTTCCATCACAACATAAGGTCAGAAGGGAGAAAGAGGCTTCTGTTTGTCCTGGGTTCCACCAGGTGCTCCGTGGCAGGCCTGCGGAAGTGAAGAGCAGAGGGCGGGCAGGAATGGCTATTGCCTACTGGCCAGCCCAGGTGAGCAGGAGGCGCCATCAGCCAGGTGAGCAGGAGGCGCCATCAGCCAGGTGAGCGAAGGCTCAGGCTTGCAAGGGACGGGCACAGGAGAACCGACCTGCTACATGAGAATATGAGTATTTTGACCTAAGCTACTCGGCAGGAGTGCTGGCTCTCTGGAATCCCCAAGAATGAGTCGCCTGCACAAGGGAATTGGCTATGTGGCTCCATCCTGTATGAGCACCAAGATGTTGAATCCACTTTGGGTTAAACCTCGCCTCCTTCCTTAAGTTAATTAAGGGAAATGTTATTAACATTTTCTTAATGGCTAATGTGAATGTCAGTTATTACCAGGTACTGCAAAATATATTAATGTTCCCTGAGCCTATAGCCACATATGGCAGTATTATGTGAAATGACCCCTAAATGTAATGGTTTTTAATTTCTCATCAGATATTGGAGGGGACATATCTAACTGGCTAAGTTATTAAAGAAAGGCACTTTTATGTTCATGGGTAATGTTCCGATTACTACCAGGACGTGACCAATCACAGCAGAAGCCAGACCCAGTGCCATAGCAGGATGTAAGAGCCCTTTGCTCCGCCTGGAGTTGGCCTGTAGCTGGTGGGCTGTGGAGAGACCAGGAGGCCCCCAGGAAGGGCTGGTGGTGGAAGTCGTCATTCATATACTGATTTTTCATCCTTTGCATTTCTAACATAAGCCACCAGCTGTTACCTCTCGGGTTGTCCCTCTGCTGTCCTCTCCTGGGTTCCTACTTGTTCTGTTGACCAGACCCCAGAGTTATAATTACATGTGCAGAGGGAAGGCAGCAGCATTTGCTGTTACTGAAGCACACAAATCCTAAGACTCAGAAGACTTCTGTTTCCTTCCCCTCAGCTATGTCTATGTAAGGGAAGCATCGACATAACAAGTTATCATGTGAAATAAGCTAGCCCCAAATCCTCCAGGACACTCTTGCTTTCTCTCTCTCTCTCCAGTGTCCTGCTGATGAACCCATCTTAGAGAAGATCTCCAGTCTCACATGTCCTCCAAGAATTCAGCACCTGCCACATAGGGGTGTCAACTGGCAGGTGTTATCAGGTGTTATCCACACTTCCTCCCTGCTGGTTGTCAGTGACCCACATGGAAAAACACCCAGTCCAAAACCTGGAGTAAGCCAGGCCTCATGGCACGTGCCTGTAGTCCCAGAGGCTTGGGAGGCTGATGCAGGAGAATCACAAGTTTGAGGCCAGCCTCAGCAACTTAACAAAGCCCTAAGCAACTTTGTGAAACCCTGACTCAAAATAAATTAAAAAAAAAAAAAAAGGTTGGGGATGTGGCTCGGAGGTTAAGCTCCACTGGGGTCAATCTCTGGTACCAAAAATAAACAAACAACAACAAAGATGGAATTAATCTCTTCTCTACTATTTTTTAAATATTTTTTTAGTTGCTAATGGACCTTTTATTTTATTTATTTATATGTGGTGCTGAGGATGGAACCCAGTGCCCCACACATGATAGGCAAGCGTTCTGCCACTGAGTCACAACTCCAGCCCCTCTTCTTAATTTAGGTACAAGCAATATAGGACCCAAATACCTAGAAATATTTTCAGCTCAGTGTTCCATCAACATCTGAGACGCCTCTCCATGCAAACTCACCGCGGGTCCTGTGACTGGGGTTAGATGTTCCACTTGCCTTTCCTGCATCTGTACCATCTGCTTCTGGGAGGAGGCCAGAATCTTGCTTGTATCCCTTTAATGTAGCCCACCCTTGGTACCCCTCAGCAGGCAGGTCCATGCATCTTCCAACTCCACCGTCCACTGGCCAACGCAATCTGAAACTTATGTCGAGTGCCAAGCCTCCCCCGGAGTCTCAGTGACTGCTAACAGATCCCTGCAAACTCAGTGCTTACAACAACATAAATAGTCTTCTTACAGATCTGGAGGCCAGGGGTCTGAAATCAGTCCCACTGGGCTGATCCAGGTGTTTGCAGGCCTCTCTGGAGGCTGGGCGGGGGGGGGGTGGGTGCGGGGTCTGACCCTGGAAGCTTTTGGTGGCCGCCTGCATTCCTTGGCTCACGGCCTCTTCCTCAGTTCACTCCGACCTCTGGTCCCCTTCCCCCCACCTCCCTCTTGTAAGGATCCTTGATCCTCATTTAGGTTCTCTCCAGATGACCCAGGACATTTTCCCCTCTCAGGATCCTTAGCTGCATCCCATCTGCAAGTCTCCTTAGCCTCAGAAGGAAAATTCATGGCTTCCAGGGGGTCGGGACACGGACACTTATTATTGAGCCCACCACCGGGATGCAGGAACCGCAGAGCTCAACTGAACTTTGAGTTGCTGAAAATCGGGTTTAGGCTTCAGAGGACGGAGTAAAAGCTCAGATATGTCAGACACACCAGGGGTGCAGGGGGCTATGTGAGGGGGCTGGGGCTGGGGCTCGGCGGTAGAGCGCTCGTCTAGC